GTCCAACCTGGCCTTGAACACTGCTAAGGATGGGAAAATCAATCAAAACCAGAAACAGAACACACTCAAGAGTGTTTCCAACTCAGAATATTACCAGTATTTGGTTATTGTAGGTGTATTTGATAGTGGAAACTGAAAAGAGAAAAAGCGAGGTCAACTGAATGATACACAAGCAATGAACTAGCAACATCAGCCAGGAAAGTTGAGCCTTGAAAGCACTAAGGAAACATGTTCAACATCCTGAATCTGGCAGAATTTACCAACAGAAGTATACTTATTTTTCTCCCAGCTTTTCTTGAAAATAGGAATGTCAGCGATAGGCAGGAATATAAAGTAAAGTAAGAAAACAAAACTTAGGAAATCCTGGCCAAAAACTGCAGATGCCCCCTTAAGTGAGAGTTGCTACATGTGACCGTCCAGCTGGAGATAAAGTCAGTATCAGTGTAACACCCAGTAAAAAAACAACCCAACAAATGTAAAAAGGGCATATGCAGTAAGCTACAGCTGTTTTGAGCAACTCAGAAGAAAACACATTCAGGGCTACACCTTGATTCAACAGAAGACAAAACACCCAGTATCTGCAAAGTCACCCTCTACGCTCATCCCACTCTTTAATGATGGGTAGAACCAAGACCTCAACAAAACCTTCTACTAAAGCAGCAAATACAAACACTCAAGTGCTAAAAAATAGCGGGAAAGCAGAGAATAGCAAAGTTGTCTTGCTGCTTCATATATATGTTTAATTCTGACATGAGAACTGGCTGGCAACATTGTTTTTCACTTCTCTCATACACCTAACTGGATAATTAACAGGTCTCAATTAATGAACAGGCTGCAATACGATGTTATTCTGACCACTTCACAAGCACTATTAAAGCAGCACTGGTATTACAAGGTATGACTGCCTTTATGCTGTAATTTTAGGTAAGATCGATGCTGTTAGTGACACATCCATACCCTACCCTACCCCATTGTGCTCATGTGGCTGATCAGCTCCTAGCAGAGAAACCTGATTACAGTTTGGGTCCCACAGGAGAATGACAGACATTGTATGAGTGAAAGGTTACCAGGGAAATGCTAAACCGACTTCACATGATGATGACACCAGTATAATCGAAACCAGTCAGGAAAACAAAATATTTAGAGAAAGGGCTTCATTGTGGCTGCAGAAGAAAAGCAAATACTGTAATTGAGCAGGGATGGCATTTCTTGCTTTTCAGTGTATCTTATTTACAAACAAGGGATTTAGAGCTGTCATATTGAGAAATATGTACTGTATTAGGCAGCAGTGCTGTGCCAATGGGCTGCAATGACAGCTTGTCGTCAGGGCAGCTGAAAGGGTGGGCACTGGAGGGATGCCCACAGCAGGCAACAACAGAGATTGTATTGGAAGCTCTTGAGGAAAGAGGGAAACTAAGCATCAGACAACCACTTTAACAGGCCCCTCCATTCCATGCTTGTGAAAATAATTCAGAAGCAAAACCGTGTAGACCACAGCATGGTCATGCAATAATGGCTTCACTCTGCCAGCACCAAAGCTACAGCAGCATTAAGTACCGGAATATCCCTGTATCAGACATACGTGAAGATGGCCCCTTCCTGAACAGCAATGCAGATCAAAACAAGAAGACATTACAGAACCCCAAAAACTGAAACTTTTTTTTTTTAATAGAATAATCTTTAAGGACAGATTGGAGAAAGAAAATAATCTCTTGAAAGTCTCAAAGTTGAAACTGTTGTTACTTTTTTTACAAGGGCCTTTAGGGACAGGACAAGGGGGAATAGCTTTAAACTGATAAAGGGAAGATGTGAGGAAGAAATTCTTCCCTGTGAGGGTGGTGAGGCCCTGGCACAGGTTGCCCAGAGAAGCTGTGGCTGCCCCATCCCTGGCAGTATTCAAGGCCAGGTTGGACGGGGCTTGGAGCAACCTGCTCTAGTGGAAGGTGTGCCTGTCCATAGCAGGGGGGTGGAGCTGTATGAGCTTTAAGGTCCCTTCCAATCCAGACCATTCTAGGATTCTATAAAATACAACTTGAGGAGTAATAGGATGAGGGATGCTAGCAATAAAACCAAATCAAATGGCTCAATACAGATGACCGAAAGCCTTCTATCATTTCCTCTGTTAACCATTTCTCACCATCAAATCCTGAGCCCCACATCAGCCAGGACACCTGCTTGGAAGCACAAATTTTAGGACCCTTCTTTTTAGACAGAATTCCCAATTTTAGTTCTAATTCAGCACAAGAGGTAGCATAAAGGCTCAGTCACATTTTAAAGGCTGATAATGTCTGATGTGGTTTGGTTATCACCTCAGCTGCCTCCTGACATTAAAAGGCATAAAATAATTTTCCAGAAGAATCTGGGGCACTTCTTACAATGGCAACAACAAAAATGAGAAGCTGAAATAAATCCTAAAGATGGATAAAGGATTAAATTAAAATTTCATGAACAGCCTTACATCCAGCATTTCTTAACTTTAAGCTGCAAAGTCATAATTAGAAAAAAAAAAATTTACAGAAGTTTGCAGGCCTAATTTCCAAGAGATACATACAACTTCTGTCAGTGAGACAAATCTGCAGCATTGCAGTTGCCATGACTCCCAAGGGAGCTGTATCACAAAGCTTGTACCTATTTTAACAGTATGTACAGGAGCCGATGCATTTAGGAAAGCCATCCTCTTATTCTAGAACACACAGTGTGAGACATGGGAGCCTGGCTAAAGAGATTTTAGTTACTAAACTTTAGCAGAAGATCCTCCAAAATATCTACATGTATTATTCTGACAGTAGATCACCAGGGGAAAGGAAAACAGCATATATATGGGCAGATACTAAGTGCTGCAAAGTATGAGCTTCACAGTCCTACCTGACCAATACAGAAGCAGTGCTGGCCAAATTCTGGTGACAGGTAAAAACATAATACCTTTGAGCAGTCAAGTGTTACCTTAACAGAGGGATGAACAGGAACGCAAAGGGTATGTACAGCCCATGGCCCCATCAGCTTAGTGAAAATCTGGATTATAATAATGATCTCCTGGATCCCTGCAGCTCCTTCTCTGTGCAGTAAACAAGCAAGTTCACCGTCTGGAATCTCAACGCCTTTCCCTTCACTGATTTATGGTTTTAACTCGTGTTCAGCTGATGCATGAATTCACTGCTTCATCCTCAGATCCAGCCTAAGGCACTTCCACACCAGTTCTGCCAATTTAAGGATTCAGTTTTGCAACTCACTGAACAGCTGCTTCATTATGAGTTGGGCAGTGGATGGAAAGAGAGACAAGCCTTGGTAACATATCTGGATGCCAGAGCAAATCTGTTTCCCTGCTTCTCCACTGCAACTTATGCTTTGTCACTCAGCCCAGATGTTGGGCAGTCACCATGAGGCTGCCCAAAGCAATGCCAGGGGCCAGCTCTGTGGCTAGCACTCCTCAGCAGCATTTGGATTTAAACTGCCATAGAACACCTCAACCAACATTTCCAGAACAAGCTCAGTCATTCAGAGCTTCAACACAGATCCGACACTTGTTGGGCCTATAAAGTGCTGAAAGGATGAAACCAACAGACTATCATCGAAGTCCTGTGCAAACTTAGGTCAGGCCAACTTACAGATACAAAGTATGAACCAACTTATTCAGATGCTGAAGAACTACTCTTAACCAGGAATCCTTCAACTCCATACACAAGTTACCTGTGCAAAACATTCAGGAGGAACTTTTCCTTTTTTTCATGGATCTGCTACTAAAATTCTGCTCTCTTGAATACAGCAGTTAGTGAAGGAAAATAAAGACTTCTAGCAGACAATGGAAAGGCTTTAAAGAAATGAGTTTTTTTAAAAAGATGCTGCCTTTAGCTTTCCCTTTATTTTGTAGCGTCATGCACCAAAGAACATCACTTCTGCAGGCACAAGTTCATGCAAAGAACACCACTTCCACTAAAATAGAACTACTTCAGGTTACGCAACATTCATTAAAATTACAAAACCTCTCAAAAACCTGACCAGCATGTTAAGGCGCACTTGAGCTCTATGTTTGTTAAGTCAGTGGCTGCATCATGCAAACTGGCAGCAAGGAACTCCACAGAAATAGATCAGCAACAAACTTACATGCCTGATGACAAGGCAAAAAACTAAGAGCACCTAAGGGCAGGGATAAACTTCCCCAGCCCATCTCAGCAGACTGGAATTCGCAGAGAAGATGCCAGTTCTTTCTGAGGAAGGCTTAGAATGAGAAGTACAAGTATATTTCTTATTTCATCTCTATCCATACTATAGTTTCCCATTTCAAAATTCCTATGAACTTCATTAAATTCTATGAAATTAATTCCATCTCATTTCCCGTGAGTACAGGAATCTCATTCCCTGGACTACAGCCAGGGTAAATGGTCCAAAACACTTACCAGCCCATTCGTAATCTCAACAGAGAGATAAAGTCTTAAAATTTGTATTAGTCCTGCTATTGTTCTGTTACAACTTCACTTTAGTAAAGATTATTTTTCTAGAAGGAAGCACATTTTGTAGATGTAGTAGTTCAAGGTAGCTTAACATACAGTCCTTAACCAATGGCAGGAGGAAAAGTAGATTGTTGTAGTTAGCCTGAGGTAGGATTAAAACCAAACCCTGCAACACGACAGCGATAGAGAACATTTCCTACCACCAAGATACTCGGTTCCCTGCTTGCCAGTGACATACAGTGCTGTTCAGTGATCACAGTGATTCACTGCTGCACCACAGATGGTTACCTTCACTCTCAGATGACAAGAAGCTGATGTAACTTAACATTAAAAAGTGCAAGTTTACTTAAATATTTGACAATATATATGTAAAATTAAATCTGAATGAATAATTAAAAAAATAATCAAGAGTTCTGGTATTTAGACTAAACTGTCAATCCTTCGAATTTTGGGAATTAGCACTGTGAAACAGGCAAGCAGAACCAACAGCCTTTTAAGATCAGCCAAAACCCCAGTCATGCCACACTTGCTTGTGCCACGTAGGATTAACGGTTACGTACTCATGCCAATGCACTGACAAACAGCAAGGTCTTGCAGGCAAGCCGTCTGGATTACTGCTGCTAGCTCAAATGGCAAACACACACCTTTTTCTTGCCTCTGCCGGCCCATACCAGTGGGTTTCAGCTGCTTTTGTTTCTCTCTGTCTGGCACAGCAGACCTGGCTGGCAGAGTTGGCACCCCTCTTGACTTTGTGGGTCTCATGTAGCTTTTTATCTGTTCTGCTGCTTTAACTTTCTCTTTCTTTGCCTCCTTCACAACTTTTTGTTCAGACTCTCCTTCCTCTTCTTTAGTTGAGTCTTGAGGTTTATCTACTTCAGACTTCAGTGCCAGAGCATCCTTTAGGTGAGCTTCCCCACCCTGAGCAGCATCCTCTTCTGCAGGCAAAGAATGACTTTTATCATTATCTTCAGGACTTAGTCTGGTTGTTTGGGCACCTGCCAGATCTAGACTAGCAGCTTCTGTTTCCATTGCTTTACTGTCCAAACTGCTCGAGTACTTTGGTGAGCTCTGCTCACTCTTCTTGCTTCCATCCAGCTTAGGCTCTTCAGCTTTACTCTCCACCGACGCTTCCACCACAACCTGTGACACAGCTGCTTCTGCTCTGCTCTCTGGTACCACTAAAAGTTCTAGATCCTTCCCTCTAGAAGGGACAGTTACCTCTAGTTTCTCTGTTCCTTTGGCACTTACAGGAGCTGGTCTACTTTCTGAATCTGCCACCTTCCGAGGAAGGTCTGAGGAAGTGTTGTCAGTGCTGTGCTTTTTATCAGTGGTTGTTATTTGTTTATCATCCACCTCTGCCCCAGGAGAGAGGGGAACTTCATCCTTCTTTGACTTAATGTCCTGTTTAACTGAATGATCGAAAGAAAGGGGTTTACCTGCCTCCCTGCCATCCTGGGCACCAACCTCTTTGGTTTCACCATCTTTCTTTGAAACCTCTTTTCCAGGCTCTTTGTGTCCCAGATTGATCGGCTGCTCACAAGATTTCTGTGTCTGTATTTCCTCTTTAGCACCAGGTGCAGGCCGTATGCTGCTTATCTCTGCTATTGCTTCCAGAGGAGGAAGCCCCTTACTTATTGCACCCTCATCAGTCTGCTTTGGGAAGCCAGAAGAAACACTGCCAGTGTTATCAGGGGCAGTCCCTGCAGTCTGAGCAAAGGATTCAAAGTCGCTTCCTTTATTATTCCAAAGCATTTGAGGGCCAATGGAAAAGTTTTTAATATTTCTATTTTCATCTACAAAATCCATGGCTTCCATTCCATATGCCACCTCAGACCCCATGGGAGGCTGTACTTCACTCCTGTTTGGTTTTGTCTCTAGAAGAACAGGCTGCTCAGAGGCATTTTTAGCTTTTTTACTACTTCCATCATGACCCCTCTTTTTAGATCTATCACTAACTGCAGCTACAGTGTGATCTGTCACTGCTGGGTGCTCTAGGATAGGCAGCTCCCCACCACTGCTGCAAGGAGGAGGATTTCCTGCTTCAGATTTGTTGGTTATCTCCACATCATGAGGAGGAAACACCTCTGCACCTGCTTTATGCTCCAGAAGGAATGGTTGCTGAAGGTTAGCCTCTGTCTTTATGCATTTCTCTTTACTACTTGTGTGTGATTTTTCTGGCTCCAGAGGTACAGCAGGAGCTTGTACTTCAGTAGTACCAGTTAAGTCACCTAGCAGACTGGCTAAGGTACTGGAATTAGCCTCTTTGCCTTTATCAAAAGGTTGAGTTTGCTTAATGTTTCCCAGCTCTTCACCCACCACAGGCATGTTACCTGGACTCAGTACAGAGTGCTCAAGACTATTTTCATTCTTTTTGCCTTTCACATCTCTACTGTTTTTCTTAGGCTTGTCCATCACCAGTCCCCTGGTCAGACTGTGTGCTGCAGCTGCATCTGTCCTGTGCTCTGGCTGAGGCTCAGATGTATCTACTTCCTTACCTTTATTCACAGGGCAAGTTTCTTCAGTGTTGACTATTTCTGGCTCTAATGTCTCTATTTTATGACCTGAAAGAACTGACTGATTTGAGAAACTTTTTCTATTACCACCCTGTATTTCAGGCTTTGCCAGCACCTCTTTAGTTATATCTGACAGATTCTCCAGCTCAAGCTCTCTTTCAAAACCAGGCACCTTATCTTTGTCAAAGGTAATTTCTTTTGTGCTTCCAGCCACTTTCTCTTTGCTTGGAAAATTGCTTGTTTCCAACCCAGCACCCCAGAGATCTGCCTGCCTCAAAGGACTTTTTTCAGGTTTTTTTCTTTTCCCCTCACTGCTCCTCTTTCTAGGTTTGTCTGCCACCAGCAGTGCATCAGAATTCCTCGCCACTGATTCAGAAGTAACTCCAACCTCCTTGCCTTTGTTAATCAAATCTACCTCTTCTGTTTTACTAATCGTGTCAGCCATAGGAAGATGCTTTGCTTCCTCTCTCCTACTCTCCAACAGGAATGGTTGGTCTAAAGCACCCAAATTGGCTATTTCATTTTTTCCAACATTTTCTTTAGGGTCCTCTGTTCCCAGTTCAATTGGCCTTTGCATTTTACTTACACCTGAAAAACACTCAGCAGTAACCCAGACCCCCTCTCTGCCTTTATCACTAACCTCCTTAGTTTTATCAGTTATGTCAGTTATGTCAGGAAAACTACTTGGGTCCATCCTACTCTCAAGAAGAGGCTGCTGGAAAAAACTTCTTTCACCTTTTTTGCTTCTTCCATCACTACCTCTTTTTTTGGGCTTGTCTGCAGGATAAGCATGTGTAATGCTTACTGATGGATGTCCTCTAGCAGCAAAACCTCTACCTTTATCAGGGTAAGTTGTATCTTTTCTATTTTCATCTATCCTCACTCCATCAGTTAGTTTGCTTACATCCTCTGAAAACATCACCTGCTCGGAGAAGCTTTTGATTTTTTTTACTTTCCCTTCACCACGCTTTTTTTTAGGTCTGTCCATCCCATGTGCAATATTGGAATCTCTTCCAGCCTGCTGCTCTAATGCAATAAATCCTTTCCCTTTGTTTTTATCAGGGGTACCTGCTCCTATCATTCCTTCCACTGCTTCAGTGGACGTGGGATGTTTGGTTGCATCAGCCTTGGCTGACAGAAGAAATGGCTGCTCTGAAAAACTATCAGCTTTTCTGTTTTGCAAAGCAGTAACTTCCTTGGAGATTGGTACAACTAATGGTGCAACAGGAATTTCTGTGGTATCTGTTGGGATCTTCAAACCTCCCTCTGAAATACTGAAGTCAACAGCCATGCACTTATTGGGGGACACTGTTTTAGTTTCATCAGCTGCCTTTGGCTCATTAGGAAGCTTATCAGATGGGGCCGCAGCCTCTGGAAGCATGGGCTGTTTGAAGAGTTCGTTTCCAAGCCCTTTGCTTTTTTCACAAGTACCTCTTTTCTTTGCTGCTGCTTCCAGCAACCTGCTGGAGGTTTGAACCTCACAATGGACAGGGCCACTGAATGCCTCACTCCTGGAGGACATGGATTTAGCCTCCTTATCTCTGTCAGAAAGAAGCAATTCTGAAGGTTTGGTCTCTAAAGGAGTTTCTACTTTGCTTAGATTTATTGCTTCTGAAGGAGATGCTGTCAGACCAGCACATTTTGACTCCCTATACTCCTTCTTATTTTTATCAAGAAAGTCTCTTTCCATGGGCTTGGTTGACCCCTTTGCTGTAACAGGTTCCCCCACCTTAGTCTGTCCTAGCTGCTCCAAGGGAACCTCTTTTCTTTTGCCTTTAGACTGCAACATCAAACTGTCATCTCTCATTTCTTCTGTTTTCATGACCTCTCTATTTTTCGCATCCAACACCGATTCTAACGGCATACTGGGTTTTGGGGCCTGCTGTCCTGGTGCAGGCACTGAAAAGGCATTCTGCTCATCCAGGATATGACTTCCAGTTTTTTTAGCATCCTTTGGCATATCTGAAGCTCTGTTTCCTGAGGCAATTGACTGCTCTGTGCGAGCTTCAGCAGGCATTACAGGACAGACATCTGGCTTTTGCAATTCAACAGCAAATGGAGAATTTCTAGGACCTTTTGAGATTGTTCCATTTTCATCCCAGAACTCCATTGTTCTTGGCAGCTGGTTTCTCTTTTGTTTTGGTTTCTTTTTCTTTTTCTTCACAATGGCCAGAGAGCCTTCCAAATCCCAGCTCTCCCTTGGTAGATCTCTGCAGCTTTCCACAAACTCCGAGAGCATACTGGATGGCTGCTCAGCTGCCTTTTTATGTGAAACCCTAGTGCGAGGGAATGTTCCAGCCTCACATCCAAGTTCCACTACGGAATAGGGGTCTACTTTTGGGTCAGTGCTCTTCTGTTGTGGGAGACCTATTAGACGTTCCTCTGGTACATCTGTAATAGGCACTGGTGCAGGTTTTGCTCTGCCAAACCTGCGTTCACTCGATTTGTTAGCTTGCCTTATTTGTGCAGTAGGTAGACCTGGAACACAGGAAGCCTGCTCAAACATCAAAGAGACTATTTGCTTTATAAAAAAATTAAATAAATATGTGATTTTAGCTAGCTAAAACAGTCCATACAGTCAAATATGCAGAATTTTCCAGCACTGATACCACAGTAATTCTAAAGCCACCTCAGTAGACATTTACACGCAAAACCTGTTTAAACTGCTACTGATAAATACGTCAATGCAATTTAAAAATACATAATTCCCAATACATGCTCTTACACCACCAAAAAGCAGCAGTTCTTGTAAGGACATGCTATTGCTTTTTAAAGATGCATTAAGGACCCATTTTGTCTTAGCAAGACAAGATAACAGATACACTTTTTATATCTCTAGCTGGCATCCTTCCATCATATGAAAATAGAAGTTTAGTGGAAAGATGAGACTAAGGAAGAGAGAAGGGGCATAATGGGGACGGGGGAGCAAAAGTGCCAAGTCTCCCACAGTACCCAGGGTGGAAGCAGTAGATGGCAGAACCTCTGTAACAGAAGTCATTTGCTGTATACCCTTATAGGCAGCACTAGGTTTCCTTAGCTACAAGCCACTGATTTTAAAGAGAGCATCAGTTATTTGTCAGTTAGCCCTGGCCCACAAATCAGCCTCCAGTCACAAGTGTAAGCAGTAACAGCTCGGAGAGGCTGCGTTAATGGTGTAGGAAAAAAAATTACATTTCCTTTGATAATTACAAAACTCAATTTGGAAGAAGGTCTTCACTGGGAATATTGTAATAAGAATTAATGGTCCTTTTTAATACCAACATAAAAAGCTAGTGGTTATGGCAAAATGATGGCGAACTTTTAAATTCTACAGCAGAAAAGAAATAAGCCAGTCCCAGTGATAAAGTACCAGCAGCAGACATGTTTGGGCTATTAGTATAGTGAACATGGAGGTAAAAAGAGTACTTAAGAGGGCAGGGATCAGAGGCAAAGTGCAAGCAGAATCTCCGATGAACGCAGAGAACCACACAGCTGCTTCGTGCAAAAAAAGATTTCTGCTTGCTCAAGTGGTAATGCAGTCAGTAGGAAAAGGTGAATAGTTCACAGAGGATATTTCCATTCTAAAACTGAATTATTATTTATATTTTACCTGTGGGCTCCTGCAGGGGTTTTTCTTGCTGAGATTCTGCATGTTGGACATGATTGTGTTCTGCCTCCTCCTTTTGTTTCTCTGTAACAGTAACATCCGCAGCAGTAACAGATTTTTCTGGAAGGAGGTCTTTATTTTCTAGTGCAACAGCTTCTTTTGCTTCTACTAGAACTGAAATACAAAAAATAAGAACAGAATGCTTCAGTTCTTCGGAATACCAGCAACCTGCAGTTTAAAAGCAAGCCCTGGGAAAGGGTATAGGTTTTATTCTATTTTTAGTAAGAATGAAGTTTATAAGATACGGTAGTCTACTATGTATTATCTCCTCACAATCCCATTTCAAGCAGCAATTTTATATTTTGGCAGACATGCCAAGGTGGAGGTAAAACATGAAGCAAAGCAAATGTCTTGAGGCTTAAGCAGAGCGTGAGGGTTGGTTGGTAAGGTTTCCCATCCCCCCTTCTTGTAATCAATCAAATTCAGACTATACCAGCTTCCCACTGGAGCTAAATTCCAGAATATACGCCATTATCACTCAGGAGTCCCATTCTAATGCTAATCATCTATCATTCCTATATACCTTAGCATATATTCATGCAGACACTACCAAATTCCTAGATACATATAATTAGAACAAGTTTTAATTTGTAAAACATAATTACATTGAAGAACGGTTCTGTATGTAATTAATTTTATTTAAATTTTAAACAGAAATAAAAACTATGACAGACATTGGCACAACTACAGATGAGGAAGAAAAGGGCAATACGATGGTAATTTCAAATGCTAATTGCCCATGTTAGCACACACTAATAACTTTTGTGAAATTAAAGCTTTGTTGTTTTTTCCTCGATAAGGACAGGAGAACAGTGTCTGTGAGAAAGAGTCACAGAATCCTAGAAGGGTTTGAGATGGAAGGAACCTTAAGTAGCATCCAGTTCCAACCCTCTGCCACGGGCAGGGACACCTTCCACTAGACCACGTTGCTCCAAGCCCCATCCAACCTGGCCTTGAACACTGCCAGGGATGGGGCAGCCACAGCTTCTCTGGGCAACCTGTGCCAGGGCCTCAGCACCCTCCCAGGGAAGAACTTCTTCCTCAGATCTCATCTAAATCTCCCCTCTGTCGGTTTAAAGCCATTTCCCCTTGTCCTGTCCCTACCTGCCCTTGTCAAAAGCCCCTCTCTAGCTTTCTTGTCAGCCTCTTTAGGCACTGGAAGCTGCTCTAAGGTCTCTCCGGACCCTTCTCTTCTCTAGGCTGAATATGCCCAGCTCTCTCAGCCTGTCTTCACATGAGAGGCAATGGGGCAGAATTAGCTGATAGTGTTTCATGCTGCAGCTTGCATTTCTCACCTGCTGCTTCTGAAAGATGGTTTGTCTGCTCCAGAAGATGCTCTTCCTGGTTGCTGGGAGGCGGTTTGCTGACTTTAGCTTGCTCTAAGAGGTCAACACGGCCTTCTGGGGCTTTCAATTCTTGTTCCACATTTGCAGTTGCTTCTGGAAACAAATGTTAAAGAACAAAAAGTCATCTTACTTTTAATTTAGATCAGATTAAGCAAGATAAAAATCACTTCCTCACCTAATTCTTATCTTCCAAGAAACTAATGGTTTTCCTCACTTTCAAAACCATGGAAATGTGCTGTCTCACTTTTGACAGTTATTCCTATCATTAAACTGAAGAGTATTAAAAGGTAAGAAAGAAAATCTCCCACTCCAACACCACCTGCAATCAGTCCACGTATACTGCCTCTGCCCAGCATTATTTGCTATATTTTGACAGTCATTTTCTCTCTGAAATGATAGTGTACTTTGAGAAATCTATGCAGCACAGCAAATCTATTGTCCACCACACGGAAAAAGATGAAAATGCCTGCCTCGCCACTTCGACGCCTATAGTCATTCCAAGTAAATGTCACAAAATTACCCACAAAGCTTATCGGTCTATTCAGAAACTGGTTTTGAGATAAGAACCTTTGTTGGAAAACACTGCAGGATCTATGGAGATTTCAGTATCAGCCAAGAATGACAGTGATACAAAATAAGTACTGACAGGGATGAACTGAAATGTCACTATGGCTGTCCTGAAAAACAGACATCATTGCTAAAAATGCCAAGTCTAAAAATAAAAAAAAATAAAAAAAAAAAGTCATTACTACTAATTTTATATTTTATGAGGGAAAAATCCTCAGGAAGTACTTTCTCTGTATCCTGACAGCCAAACTGAGCTTTATTTATGATGTTTTGTGCAAGTTGTATCGTAGTATCACTGGTGCAGGTTGCCCAGAGAACCTGTGGGTGCCCCATCCCTGGCAGTGTTCAAGGCCAGGTTGGACAGGGCTTGGAGCAACCTGGTCTAGCGGAAGGTGTCCCTGCCCCTGGCAGGGGGGTTGGAACTAGATGACCTTTTAAGGTCCCTTCTAACCCAAACCATCCTAGGATTTTAGGATAATCTTAACTATTAAAAAAACATGAGTTTTATTTGACAGTCTTATGACAACTGTGCATCTGTGTAGCCATCACTGTGCTACCAGGGGTGTTGCTGCTAGTGCTACACCAACTTACAGTGCCTTCTTATACCACTTGCCATGGTACTTCAAGGCCAAATGAAACTCACCTGCAGAAGGCTTGCCAAAGGGTGACTTATCGTGCTTAAGAGAAGACTCAGAAGTCATCAGCTCTTCAGATGCAGCAATCTTGGTGTCAGCTGCAGTGGCAGACTTAGCTTCTGCAAAGCCAAACCCAGAATCCATGGCAGGAAGAGGTTTAGTTTCTGCTACAGGAGCAAACCCAGAATCCATAGCATGATGATGGTTGACTTCTGCTGCAGGGGCAAACTCTGCATCTGCTCCTGGTGCAAATTCAGAATCCACAGTGTGATGAGATTTAGTATCTGATGCTGGGGCAAACGCCAAATCCACAGCATGGTTAGATTCCACATCTGCTGCTGGGGCAAATGCCGTATCCATAGCATGGTGAGATTCCACATCTGCTGCTGGGGCAAATGCCAAATCCATAGCATGGTGAGATCCCACATCTGCTGCTGGGGCAAACCCTGCATCTTCTGCTGGGGCAAACTCCAAATCCATAGTGTAATGAGACATAGCATCTGCTGGGGCGAAGCTAGTGTCTGCCACTGGAGCAGATGCATTCACAGCATCAGGAGGCTTGACTTTTGGCGCAGCAGCAAACCCAACATCCATAGCCTGAAAAGTGTTGGCTTCTGCTGTGGGTGTGAGTCCAGCATCCAGAGCTTGAGGAGGCTTGGTGTCTCCCGCAAGAACAGACCCAGCCTTTTCTGTGGAAACAGACATGACATCTGAGGGAGGAACACACCCTGCATCTGCTGCAGAAACACAGATCAGAAATCAATGAAAAAATACAGAACGTAAATACCTAACAGTGTGGTTTTATGACCCGAGAAGACGGGGGTTTTGGCTCCCTGTCTGTTGTCTTGTCTTTCAGCATCACTTACTCCCCCCCTTAAACCAGTGCACTCAAGTTGTAGTGGTCTTTATGACACTCCTCAGCACACCCAAGTGTTTTTCTTGCTACAGCCTCACATGCTTTGTTTTGTATCCCTGACTACAGTGTTAGGCATCTGTCTGCTCCTAACACACATCAGCAAACGGATGCATTGTTTTCATTTAAAAACTACCTGGTGCTACGTAGCTGGCGAGAGACTGGAGCTGCCAGATCCACTGCAAGCAGCACATTCCAACAGAATATGGCCTTGTACATTTTTTACATGCTATCTACTGAACACTGAGCTGTGTTTCAAAATAACATTTGTCAGTTCACAATGCAAACCTCTGCACTGAAGTCAGCATTTTCATAAAATCCCCTTAAAGGAGTTTTTTCAGTCTATTTTACTTGAACATTTTAGCTGTCTAGAGGTGAGTTTTCATAAATTATCAGAAGCACTAGATTTCTCTTCTGCAGCTATTCATTTCAACAGCCCTAAGTTCTACCCACACTCTGTACAATGCAGCACAGTGACCTAAACAGCTTGGATATAATGCTGAGTAGATGTTTAAAAAAAACTTCAAGTATTTCTACTAATTGTTTCAGTCACATCTAAAAATATCCTCCCCAAACAATGGAAAAGGTATTAAATCTTAAATTAGATACTTAAACTGAAAACGGAAAGAAATGAGAAAATTGGGAAAAGTGCCTTTTAAAACAGAACTTCAAGATCCATTTAGATAAAACCAATAATCTAGTGAACCAAACCAGGAAGATCCATTATGCACTAGCCCTCATTTGGGTTTCTCTTTTATTTTTTTTAAAGGGATATCATGATCTTCTCCAAAATAAAATTTAAAGATTGTGATTTTACAGAAGCAAAAGGCAGTAAAGAAATAGATATTAAAAGTAGTATGGATGCTCCCTGGTGAATCATGGAAAGGACTAGAATAAAGCATAAAGAAACTGGACAAAGATTAATGCAAAATATACCATGAGTCTGATGCTGTATTGAAGTAACTTAAAAACTGTCCCTTTTAAAGATTCTCTTTAAAACATTTTTTTAACATATTTATATACAGCATCAGACTCACGGTATAACCACATTTTTGACAAAGCTTAACATTTTTCTGGAGCTGAAATTTTGAGAAAGAATCATTAAATCAGTTACTGGTTTAAAAGACAAGAGTTGAAAAGCTGAGTAGACTTGCTATTTCTCATCAACACACTTCAGGTATCCTAAACATTCAGTCCCAACAGGATTTGTGAATACCTTGCTTTGTTTCCTTCAGGTGGGGCAATCCCATGTCTTTTGACCACTATAGCTTGCTCACGAAAGGCCTAAACCCAGCACCAATCTTTAGACTGGAGCATTGTTACCTGATGCTGCACCTCTTGGTCCATCAGTAGCTTTGGCCTCTCCTGGGGATGTTGTTACTGCAGCAGGAAGGAAACCAGGAGCCACTGCTGCAGGGCTTTCTGTCAAATTCTGGTTCATTGCTTCTGTCACGGTGGGGGGCACTGGGCATAGAAAATGAAGTTTAATTAAGCACTCTGAAAAATCTTAGCAAACATCTCTCTCTTCTGGGGTTGCCAGGATGTGAATCACCCTCTCAGGGTGCTGCCAGGTCTGTGCTGCCTGCAGCAGCAGCCCTGATGAGTAAGTTCCCCTACCTCAGCATCCCAGTTGGATTAAACAGAAAAAAGGATCAGTTTTTATTGTTAATTTTCAGAAAATTAATTTGTGCAATACCTAGGAAAACACTTGTCTCCTGAGAGAAGCAACTGCCATAACAAGTTTCAGGAATGTTCAGTTGCAAAGCATCCCAGTTCTACCCTGAGCCCAATTCCACCTAGAAGCAGCATTGAACTACTCTCTTCTTCACTTGTTCACCAAAATCAGCAATAAAGATCCCATTATGAATCAAATATCATAATATAATTGCAACTGCAGTGAAATTATGACCCAGTGGTGCTTCAAAGATTTAACTATAACCAGAATCATAGAATGGTTTGGGTTGGAAGGGATCTTAAGCACCACCCAATTCCAACCCCCTGCCACAGGCAAGGACACCTTCCACTAGACCACATTGCTCCAAGCCCCGTCCAACCTGGCCTTGAACACTGCCAGGAATGGGGCAGCCACAGCTTCACTGGGCAACCCGTGCCAGGGAAGAACTTCCTAGTAGATCATCTAAATCTACCCTCAAGATAATTGGACTTAACACACAGGTTTTCCATTAGGATTTAGTCTAGAAGTCTGTTGATTATGCATGAGCCAAAATTGTGTTTGTTAGTGGCCTCAGCTGCACTGACCCTTGGAAGCAGTGAACACAAGTGCTCTGACTTACCACTCAGGTCAGCAGATTTGACTTGCAGTACATATAAAGAGTAGAATCCTTGACAGCAGTGAAGTTCCAGTTCTAAAGTTTCTTTTCAAGAGTAAATTTTATTCATCCTATTATTTTAGTGTCAAATAATGCTTGAACACACATCCCAACTGGAAATTAAGGTAATGGAGACATGCAAAATGGAGACACAGTCTGGAATCCACAGAGCTTTCTGCTGAATGTATTGTTTTGCACACTTCTACATCTGCTAACTTAATGCCCCAAAACCATGAGAAGGGCAGGCTTTCAGCAGGTTAAAGCCCTGCTATGCAATATGCCCTGTGAAAGGGCAAACCACTAATATCTACTGGCAGTTGGGCTTGGAACTGCATATATTAAATTTGTTACCCTAAATTAGAAGTAAACAACCTATAAAATGAAGAGTTCTCCCATCCCTCACAGCACTATACTAGAAAATATGTGTTAAGTAACATCTCTCCAAAACATGTATTTCTATTCTATATGGATTTGAGAAACAAGGTCCCACTTCACTCCACTAGGACCTTGTGTTTCTTGAAAAGGCAGACAAGGAGAGAAACTCTGCTTCTGCTGTTCAGAAACTCTCTATAGACAGTTCCTGCAGATCAAGTCAAAACCATTTTTACCTGGTGGCTCAACAAAGAAAGAGGCATCTGGTTCCTTCACATCATACTGAGCTCCCATCCAATATTCTTCACGCACTGTGGAAAACAAACACATTTAGTCCTGCAATTGACACTAACACCACTTTATTTTTTCAGTTGAAGGTATTGACTATGATGTTTTGTGAGTTCATTCTCAGGTAACTTTCCAGTTCCCTTTAAGAATGGCACCAGAACATCATGTTCATGTGTGACTATTGCTGGTGAAAGCTTGAATCAGAGAAGAATTATAACCACCACTGACCAAGGACCCAACGGAGCAGGTTCTTCCCTCAATTCTTCTGGACAACTGGCTCTAAGTGGCACTGCTTGAGGTGTGGTCAGACAAGATGACCTTCAGAGGTCTCCTTCCAACCTCAACCAGTCTGTGATCTCCTGACAGCTTCAGAACATTCCCACAGAACCAAGAACTGTCATTACCAATAGGATACTGTCTAATCTTGACTACATTATATATCAACTCCCCCACCAAGATTCTTTAGGACTAGTAAACCAAGATTTTCCAGCTGCATACTCTTCAAATCCACTTAGCTAGACAGTAAGAGCAAAACATTCTTACCTGCTTTGTCTTGCAGAAATTCTGCTGTTGAATCCAAGCCAATGAAGGCTGATGTGTCTAGAGCCTCTGCAGGTGAATACAGGGCCCCCAAGAAAGGTTGTTCAGGTACCATCATAGATCCATGTGGTGCTAACAAAATAAAAGATCAGTTGTTAATCATCACACCAGCCCTAATGACTCCTCTCCAAAACTTGAAGTATATATAGCACTTGGAAAATAAACTATTCTGTTCTGCTCACAAGCAGTTCAGATAAAGTTTGTAAATTCTCTCAGCTCACCTTTAGAAACCATGTTGTAAATTATGGCTGCATATATAACTTTTTAACAAGGCATAAGACAGCAAGCACAGGCAAATTATTTCACTTTTGCTTTCTGCTTCTGCTCCCGTGAATTCTTGTTAATAACCACTTGAACTCCAATAGTCAAAAAAATCAGGACTATTTAGAAAAATCTCAAGTGTATTTAGTTTCTAGCCATGAAGACAAAAGGTATCAGTAACGCCTGCTTGAACTCAACTTCTTCAACAATGAAGAAGCTCCGAGGGCTGAAGCACCTCTGCTATGGAGACAGGCTGAGAGAGCTGGACTTGTTCAGCCGGAACAAGAGAAGGCTCCAGGGACACCTTTGAGCAGTTTCCAGTGCCTAAAGGGGTCCACAAGAAAGCTGGAGAGGGGCTTTTGACAAGGGCAGGTAGGGACAGGACAAGGGGAAACGGCTTTAAACTGACAGAGGGGAGATTTAGATGAGATGTGAGGAAGAAGTTCTTCCCTGTGAGGGTGGTGAGGCCCTGGCACAGGTTGCCCAGAGAAGCTGTGGCTGCCCCATTCCTGGCAGTGTTCAAGGCCAGGTTGGATGGGGCTTGGAGCAACCTGGTCTAGTGGAAGGTGTCCTTGCCTGTGGCAGGGGGTTGGAAATGGATGAGCTTTAAGGTCCCTTCCAACCCAAACCATCCTGTAATTTTATGTTTCTAACTTGTCTAGTTGTCCTATTTCCTTCTGCCTAAATACACTGCAAAAAACAAAACACCCCAAAAAACAAAACAAACCAACTTTCTGGAAGGAGCTACGGGAATGGCTTTAGGCACACACAAAACCCTTACTATATACTTTGTCAAGTTATCAGCTTATTAATTTTCATCACACAAAAATCATCAGAGAAAACACCAAAAGCTACCCATCAGGGACAAAAGCAGAAGAGGAACTCACCATGGATGTCTCTGGAAGTGTCAGCATGGTCAGTGAACAGCGGCACATTCTTCATGTCAGTCGGTAATGATAAGTCAGGCAGATTGTCCCCTCTGTGCATGCTGAAGGAATCTGGCAGAAGACAAGAATGAGGCCAGGGTCACCACGGAGGGCAAAGACATGGTGTAGAGTAAGATTATTTAAAAAACAAGATGAAGATGCATCTGACACCACCACTGAGCTTCCAAGGGAAAGCCGCTTTCAAGACTATTTACCAGGGGCAAACAACTTCATAATTAGAATTTCTACCCAACAGTAAGACTCGGTTGCTCAGACTCCTCCAGAAAATCTGAACTCAAAGTTTAGATTACAACTGTTGCATAGAGAACCTGTCTTCTCCTCTCAAGAAGGACACATCTGTTTCTGACCTGAGGGACACTTACAGTTAACCTGAGTCAGGAAGAATGGCTAAGCCACATACAAGTCGGCAGCAGACCCAGGAAAACTTGTGTAAGCTCCCCAAGAACAGTACACCAGCATAAACTGACTGATGGGCCAGTATTTTAACCAAGTCGCAAGCCAGAGAGGAAAACAACCTACTTCCCAGTGTTCCGGGCAGATAAGCAGCCTTTGCCCTTGGTTCCAGACCAGACTCACTGGCTGTCACAAACTTCAGTCTATGTTTGCAACTCAGCTGGTGCCAACTTCAGTTAGTCTAATGTGTGTTAGCTTTGTTCTCCTCCTGGTCTATGTTTTAAGTAGATATATCAATGTCCCCTGCAAAAGATGGTACTCCAGCAGCTGAGGATTCAGCAAGTGAAATTCCTTTTCTGCAAGTTTTATTTTTTGTGTGCACACATCTCCTTTCCCCTCAAGCAATCAGCATGGACATTCAAACCAGACAGGACAGAGAGAATCACCATGCTGGGTTTTATGAGATGGATTACTAAACTGAAATGCCATGAGGCAGGGAGTAGACAGACAGCCTCACTGACAGGATAAAACGAAGAGGACACACAACCCTTCCATGAGTTAGTCACCATACCGTAATACAGTCAAGGGCAAGACGTTGCAAGGGGAAAGAAACGTAGCATTCTTCTCCCAAAACAAATTACTCCGTAGTTGTAGTTTACAACCCCCTAGATGTGTTTTATGATCACTGGTTCCTAACACATCTAGCTGACTTGTGCCATATGTACACGGCATTTCTCTCCAGACAGGCCCAGCCGAGCTATGAGAGGTTTTTACTCAAGTGGCCTCTTGCAGATGAGTGATGTTTCCCATGACTCCCTCACAGACTGCATTACCCAGGAGCTAAAGAACTCTCTGTTCCCGAAATGGCTGTTGCACACCAGTTCTCAGACGCTGCACAGATTTCTTCCAGTTAAGCACAATTAAAAGGGATTCAGTTGAAGGCTGCTTTTCATTTTTACGTCAGGCATGCTATCTGAGGGGTTGACAGCCAAACTTCAGCTCTCCACATGCCCATAGTGCTCCAAGATGTCACCATCAGGGGAGATGCATGAATTCTTTTATAAATTTATCAGACCGTTTGAGATGCCAAGACAATGTCCTGCTTCAAAGTATACTCTAGAAAATTTTCATTTCAAACTGTTGAAAACAGTACTACCAAGCCCAAGTAACTGCCTTTTTTCCTATTAAAAACAAAACACCAGAAAACCGAACAAAACCACACACACAAAAAAGAAAAGCAACCCACAAACAAAAAACCCACACCAAACACCAATCCCACAGAAAAGCATCACTACTGAAGCCAATTTAAAAAACAAAAGAGATGCTGATGATCTCTTTGTCCAGGAATTAGATGATGTAGCAAAAATGGGCAACCCAGCTTAAACCCTGTCTCTGCTCCAGAGAGAGAAGGAGGAGAAGCGGAAGGAGATATAGCTGAACTCTTGTTTCCAATCTCCAAAGATCCTCCACAGATTCAAAGTGGGCCCATGCCCTATTCAAGTTTTACGATTTTTGTGACTGGTAATTGATACTGCTCTGCTGATTACAGAATCATAGAATCCCAGGTTGGAATGGACCTCAGGACCACCTGGTCCAACCTTTCTAGACAAAGCATGACATAGACTAGATGGCCCAGCACCACGTCCAGCTGAATCTTAACAGTGTCCAATGTTGCGGAGTCACCACTTCCGTGGGGAGATTATGCCAGTGGCTGATTGTTCTCATTGTGAAACATTTTCCTCTTGTGTCCAACCAGAACCTCCCTGGATGTAACTTGTGCCCATCACCCTTCATCTTTTCCATGGGACTCCTTGTAAACAGGGAGTCTCTGTTTCTTTATAGCCACGCTTTAAATACTGATGACAAGGTGATGTTCCCAGCAAAACACACTGCAGATGAAAGATGGGTGGGTAAGAATGAATTGCCTGGATGGGCTATGGCAAGGTCAGGAAATTCTCTGCTCCTGCATTAAACAAGGCCTGAAAATAATGCTCTACTTGCACAAAATTTGCAGCTTGTTTAGAATACTATGAAGCCAGACAAATGTGAAGAATCTAAGAATATTGTTTCTAGACAACAAAACATTTATGAAACTTTCTTTTCAGCTCACTTCGATAGACACTCATGTCCTTCCCTGTCACAGACATAGCTCCAACTTGCCAATGCCTGTGTACTAATAAAAGTGTGTTATTGTGACTCATTTAAATAGGAACTCTTCATGTTTAGATATTTAGGTGTAGTTACAGTAATAAGTCATGATCCACTTGTGATTAAGGGCCTTGTAGCACTTTCAAAGCTTTCAAGTAATTAGATAATGTCAGTTTTATTAATTCTACATTACAGTACATTTTTAAAACAAGACTTACTATACATAGTGTGTAAAATACGTATGTACAGTTTTGCTCATAGCTGTTACTTCACAGTGTTAAGTCTCACTGCCAGATCACAACACAGCATTTGCAATACAGAAGAGCAAAGTCAACAGCAGACTCAAATGCACTTGCAGATGCTCACAAAAGTGACAGTGCTGGCATTTCCCAGGTTTCTCACCAAGGAATGAGGAATTACAGCAATGCTGGTCAGGAGACCAGTTACACCATTGACCAGAGAATTCTCTCCTTGGGAGGGAAATCCTAGAATCACAGAATGGTTTGGGCTGGAAGTGACCTTAAGGACCACCCAGTTCGAACCTCCTGCCATGGGCAGGGACACCTTCCACTAGACCAGGTTGCTCTAAACCCCATCCTAAACCCCAACCTGGCCTTGAACACTGCCAGGGATGGGGCAGCCACCGCTTCTCTGGGCAACCTGTGCCAGGGCCTCACCACCCTCACAGGGAAGAACTTCTTCTTGGTATCTCATTGACCACCCTTCAAGTAGAATCTCTTGTTCATACAGCATCAGGAAGAGCAGAATGGAGGAATCCTTTCACTCCGAAGTATACATGGTATGCTTCTTGGTGAGCAAGATACTTCAAAGCCATGAAAACTAAGGAAATGTGGTTTCATGCAATAGGTAACCCACAGATTCATATTATTCAGGCCAAAAGAATACTGGGTGATGGGCTAGGTATATAAATTGCTCCTAATCGAATTTGTCATCTGGCTATTGAGCCGTCAACATCCCATAATTCACCTAAGACAGCACTGGGGGGGAAAAGCCCAACAACTGTGTTTTAGAAACTAGTGGCTCTTTTGTTCCAGTTGTTCCATGAATCATTTCTTACCCTTGTAATAGTATATAATTTCTCCACTGAATCTCTTAGCGAATATGAGATTCAGATAGCAAGAAAGTAATTTCGTAAGCAGGTCTACAGTGCTCAAAAATATGTACTGAGAAACTTTAATCCAGTTTCAGACAGTACCTTTCCCAGGATTGTTGCCTGTTAGCATGTGGGCAGCACACACTTTTCTCGTACCCTCCAGCAGCTAGCAAGGAATTTTCCATAAGCTTGTTCAAAATTGAGAGAAAACTGGGTAAAAGTTGTTGGGTGAAAGGGTATCTTTTTGTAGGGGCAAGTTACACAAGGTTCATTTAATTTTCAAGAGAGTCAGCAGCTACACAGGCTGCCTTTAGAACAGACCGACCTGCATTGCAGGCACAGCTACGTGACAACTGGAACCAGCACTGCTGAGAGCCAGGGAAGACTGGCTTTTGGCTGTCAACAAACCTCTGGTGAGGTTTGCACTGAAAGCCACAGTACTCCAGAGTGGTTAAACTGTGGGAGTCAACCAAAAGCAGCTACCACCATGTGAGCCAAGACAGGTGAAACCTGCTCACCCATGCTATGTGCTCCAACATGCTGGACTAGCAACTCCATTTTTAAACAGCTAGACCACACTCTAGGGCAAGTTAGGGGCTCAATATGTGAAGTTCACTCTGGTGTTAAGTGTGTTAGGAAAACTGAGCAACACATCTTGAAGAACACAGGCATGAGTACAAGGCAGAGAACAAAACCACCCTTAGGGATGGAGACTAGGACTCTGTCATGTCTGATGCTACAGGGTTAAGAGTAAAAGTCATACCAGTCATCTCCAGGGGTTTGAATACTGGCTGTGATTCAAAGCACAGATCTCTGTCATCCATTGTCCATGACTCATTGCGATCGAGAAATTCCTTGTAAGACAGCTTTTCATCCATGTTTTCTCCTGGGAATACTGAAATCAGAGAAGAAAATGATACAGCCAAAAGTGAAACATTCAAACATTTAAAGTAGGTTATTGCATGATATGACATTGTCACGGTTTAAGCCAGAGGCCAACAGACTACATGAACATTAATTTTTTATTGCTTTGATCCGAATCCCCAAATAAAAGAAAATAATGGGAATTTCTGCATCTTGATACACATGTAAGATCAAGAACGGACTCATGTCAGAGCACTGCCCTGTTTTCAGATGTTGGACTGTTCATGCTAGTTCCTCACACTCATCTTTAGGGAGTTTTTTTAATTAATATAAGAGCTGGAACAACCCCAAGGTGCTGAACTTGTGAGGCTAAGCAAAGTTTTCAGGTCTGTCAGTATAAAAATGCTGACAGCAACTTGCTCATGAGGTCACAGTGGGGAGGAGGGAAACTAAAGCCTCTTCCTCTCCTGCCCAGGCATTAACTCATCAGTACCAAATATGACCAGAGTTACAAAAATAATAGTACCACCACAGACACACAGTACCCATAGGATGGTTCACTCTCTATTTTACTAGGAAGACAAATCATTTAAGTGAGTAATTTTTCTCTTAATACCTCAGAGGCCTTTATTTTTATATCTTTATATTTCACACTTGAGCCTAATCTTCCCCCAGTTTACACTAAAAACAGTTCTCTAAACACATCAAAACATCAAAGCCTGATGGTTTATATCCAACCAAGGAAAACTTTCATCTTTTTTCGCTCTCCCATGTTAAAAACAACTGTGCTGAGAATAACAGCCTTCAGCAACTTGAGATCCTGATGACTTGAGTCAAGTATTTTATTACTGCAGCCTTGGTAGGCACCTTGCACAGCCTACAAATGTCCCACAGAAAAATGGGTGGAAATAAAGAAGAAATTAGTCTACCTAAAAGTATTTAAATAAGGTTTGTCACAAGAAACACTGAAAATATGCAGATCAACCGTTTCCTGAAGTCCTTACAAGCAGTTGGAAGATGTTTAGAAAATCAAAGCAAAGAAAGCTCAGTTGTGAGCAGAGACACTCTCCAGGAGCAACACTAAGACACACCATGGGCTCTCCTCTTCCTCACCTTCTGTGGCTGGTTTTGATTTTTTTTTAGTTGGAACTTGATGGGCTTTAAGGTTCCTTCCAACACAAACCATTCTACAATTCTATCTTAAAGACTTCAGCCTTAAACCACTTCAACAAGTGGTTGTTTCAACAAGAGATACAGAAGTAGCAGCTAATGATAATGGCCAGGATGGGAAAAAACACTAAGGAATAAATCCAGTTCTTGTAAATAAGAGCTGTATCAGTACATACAGCATATGAAAGCTAAGCTATAACTAAGCTGATGCTTGTGAGCTTTGATTTACACTTTAACACTCAAGATATTCCTGAACTTCAGCTGGGTCAATACTGTCTACTCCCTTGTAGTCTCAGCTGTTACTGTAAAAAGCCTGGTCCTTTCAGCTTTCAAAGACATTTCCAGACCCTTCAGTTGTACAAAAGAAATAAAACCATAGAAACAGAGTCATGGAATGGTTTGGGTTGGAAAGGACCTTAAGGACCATCCTGTTCCAACCCCCTGCCATGGGCAGGGACACCTTCCACTAGACCAGGCTGCTCAAAGCCCCATCCAGCCTGGCCTTGAACACTGCCAGGGATGGGGCAGCCACAGCTTCCTGCGGCAATGTAAGTCCTGAAGTTTTTAAATACAACAAACACAGTGGAAAAGCTCAAAACAAATACTCAGGCTAATGACTAATTTTCATTTTAACAAGACAGAAGAGTTGACAAATTCAGGTCTCCAACTGACAACATTCTACTTTCAAACTGGTTTCCAGTACCTTCTGGAAAGAAATGCAAAAAAACCAAAAAAAAACAAAACAAAACAAAACAAAACAAAAAAAAAAAAAACGAAAAGAAAAAATTACATTAACTGCTCCTCTCATCCCCTAACACAATATGCTACACTCTTGCCAATACATCTCCATGTTTTTAATATTTTTACCTTCATTTAGGCTAACAATACTACTCAAAAGACTGGAGCTCAGGAAAGGAAATTGATAGTGTGCCTCATAAGATATCCCTGAAAAAGACCCTTAATTCAGTGCAATACTGCAGTTAACAAAAGCAAAACTAGTGCTAATGCACAGAAGGAACAGAATGCTGGTATTTAAAGGCAACAACCACTGCCTCTTCCAGGGGTCTGAGGTACCAGCTAGTCACAAGCAGAGAATTCACAGCAAGGTGGAACAGACTCAGAGAGACACTGTAAGAATTCTAATAATAAAGTGATTGAGAAATAAGAAAGATGGGTTTTCTGGGGTGTTTTTTGTTGGTTTTTGTTTGGTTGGTTGGTTTTCTTTACATCACAAAATAATGAAAGAATACTAGAACAAATCAGTAGTTGCAGCAACCTGATCAGAGATTTTGTTCTTAGAAGAACAGAAGGGGATTCAATGAAGCTAGAAACACATGAAAACCTCCAATTATTACATAAATACTATTTGTCATAATTAAAGCCTGGAGGTCAATGCTGTACAGTGTCCCTGTGGTCTAAAACTTCACAAGGTCAGGGGCATGTGACAGTCTGAATACTCCTATTTTGAGTCATCACCAGCAGTACACTTTAACTGGGACTTCACAGATAATCCCCAGGAAAGGCAGAAGAATTAATGAGCATTAACTCCCATGGAGGCATTTACATGAACTGCAGCATAGCAGGAGGTATAGGGGAGACCCTTTAAATACTGGGTATTATACATTTAAAGGGTGGCTACAAAGACAACGGAGACTCCCTTTTTACAAGGAGTCCCACGGAAAAGATGTGGGGTGATGGGTACAAGTTACTCCCAGGGAGATTCTGGTTGGACACAAGCGGAAAGGTTTTCACAATAAGAATAACCAGCCACTGACATAATCTCCCCGTGGAAGTAGTGGACTCCCCAACGCTGGACACTTAGACTGGGCTGGATATGGCGCTGAGCCATCTAGTCTAGTACATGCTTTGCCTAGAAAGGTTGGACCAGATGATCCTTGACGTCCCTTCCAACCTGGGATTCTAGGATTCTACAAAGGAACTAGGTGAGTGTTTCTCTATCTAAATTCAGAGGAAGGCAGAGATGGTCTCAGAAGTTCTCAGTTAACATCAGCTTAGTCCCCTTGGCAGGTGGCAGGACATATAAGGCTCTCCTGGCCCACACTGGCCTCTCAACTGGGCATGGAACCATTGCCTTCCCTGAGCTGACAACAGGCAGCCAACAGCCACCAGCTCATCCTCCTGCCCCATCCCTAGCCCCATGCAAGTGCAGGTGTTTGCAGCTCCTAATCTGAGCTGAACAGGGATGTCCCAGGTTTGCCCCATTTCCAAGGGGGCTGAAAAAATGTTGTAGCAGACATGCCGTGCTGTGGATGCAGTGAGCAAAAAGGAACTGAATCTTCAAAGGGAAGCGAGATAGACGATTCACAACACTGCTCGTGGCACCAGCGTTTGAACTTGGGTGTCCCACAAGGAACAAGAGAACATGTTTTTTTCCTACTGAAATTCAAAATACAGAGAATGCTGCCTACCAGCTGCAGGTTGGGTACTGACACACCACAACAAGATGGGCACTATGGGAAGTGATACTAGACTTCAACAGAAGTTCGTGAGTTAGCATCCAGATTCTGATCCAACCAAATAGAAATAAATGCATTTATTTTTTACCCATATATGCAATCTGATTTCCCATTCTCTCACCCTCAAGAGTATTATTCTAGTAAAATAATATCTTCTACTACTTTGCTTCTGTGTAAACACCACAGAGAAAGCACTGAAGAACTCCTTCTGAATAAATCCCATTTCTGAGCATCAGAGGAGTTATTCCTACCTCTTGTGCTACAGCCCTGCAGATGCTACAAGCATCCTAAAGCGGTGCTGATATGGCAAGTGGATGCCGCTTTTCTGCCAGTGGCTTTTAGCCATTACTCTGCTAAATGCCTGCATTTGACATGGTTGACTTCAGCAGAGAGGATACAGAAGCTTCCCAGGTCAAGCTTTACAACAGCTATGCTTCCTTTTTGCAAAGGAGGAGGTACAAGCGTGTGCAGGAAGCAAGCAGCAAAGGTGACACACGAAGGCAATAACCCCCTTGCATTCAGAAGAACAACCAGTCTAGGCAATGCTGGCTGATCCTGGAGTCTGAGGGCAGCTTAAAGGCTGATGATTTAAGCAGAGAATACTTTAGTTAAAGACAGAGAATGATCATTTAGATTTGCAAAGTACTTTAAAGATAAAGTGCCACTATATGTGTCAAGAGATATTATTTAGGTAACAACAAACATTGTTCAGCCTGGAGAAGGCTCCTAGGAGACCTTAGAGTAGCTTCCAGTGCCTAAAGGGGCCCACAAGAAAGCTGGAGAGGGGCTTTTGACAAGGGCCTGTAGGGTCAGGACAAGGGGGAATGGCTTTAAACTGACAGAGGGGAGATTTAGATGAGATCTGAGGAAGAAGTTCTTCCCTGTGAGGGTGGTGAGGCACTGGCACAGGTTGTCTAGACAAGCTGTTTGATGAAATCAAACTCCTGTTGGGTTTTGGTATTTGCAAACCCTTAGTTCTAGCAAAAGCCCCCAAAGCCAGATGAAAGACTACTCAAAAGCAGTTATGAATTGCCTCTGCCAAATCATCAGAAATAGAAACTAAAGACTTGCAAGTTTTTCATACAATATTTTCATAACAGATGCTAATTAAAAAACCAAGTCCAATCCACCACTGCTTTCCGGCAGAAAAAAGAGATGCCAGGAGGACTTCAGTTGGGTGCTGGAAGCAGCCAAGAGGCCAGAGGGCAGGTCAGGAGCAGGCACCAGGCTTCTGAGCCCAGGGCAGCTGCTCACCCCCTGCCTGTAACATGCTGAGGCTGAGCTTTGCTATCCAAGTGCCGGTGACAATGTAAGTGGAGAACAAAGATTGCTGTATCAACACATTAGCACTAACTCCCCTGCTATTCCTGGTCAAAGTGTTTTC